GGGAGAACAAAAATATTCAATAATTTAATATAATGTATATATATCCCACAGTTTTTTTTTTTTTTTTTTTTTTTTTTTTTTTTTTTTTTTTTTTACCACTGACATTTCCTACACATGTGTTCGGCCACGTGTCTCGACTCGTCTCGTAGCCGACATATTCCCAGGACCCTCTGGCATCTACTAATTCCTCGTTCCTCGGAGGGAGCGATTCTGGGAAGAAAGTTTCAAATTAGACCGGTCGATTATATCGCGCACGATATTCTCGTGAAGTGGATGCCGCGACGGATGGACGGCGTATGTCGTCTTTACGAGAGCAATCCTCGTTGAAAAAGCGCGTGGTAGAAATCCGGATGCCAAAAAAGAGGATTCGTTCGTCTTGAAATCAAGTCTAGTCGCGGCGAGAAAATTTTCCTTCGTCCTGTTTGGATCGAACGCGAACCTGTTTGATCGCTAGGTGCTTGAAATGTCTCTTATGTCATCGTTTTCACAAGTCTTTTGGGCCCTCAGTCGCCTGAATCGGCGACATCGAATTAATACGCGAAGGGTTCGAAATAACAACAAACTCTTGAGATCGCAATTCGACTGGCTCGAAGATACATTCGGATTTTCTTTCCTTTACAACTCGATATTTAATCGATTGTACGATTGCTAGAATTGCGATTGTGCTCCGTACACGTTTTCTTATATCAAACCTTCTTAAGGGTGTCTACTCCCTGGAAAAATATAGAAAATGTTGTTTTATTAATTTTTAAAAAAATCCTCCCTTTGATAATTTTGTTCCTATATTGTAAGCAAGTTAATTGAAAGAATTATGTGTATTTAAAATATATTATAAATATATATATCTATCTCTCTCTGTTTTTATATATTCAATATTGAACACACAGTACATATTCTTTATTGTAATTTTTAGTCATTAGAATTTAGCATTAGAAAACGCATATAATAAAGAAACTTATTTTAGGATCAATTTTTGCACCAAAAAAAAATCTTTAAAAATATTCTCTTCACCTGGAATTTTGAACAAAAAGATATGAAAGGTCAGGGAATTTTTTTTTTTTCAGGATTTGATGAGTAGACATCCTGTTCTTTTCCCTACGACTTTTTGCTCCCTAATGGTGAGTCACGCGCGATTAATGTCGCATCCGATTTCTCGAGAAGTTTCTCACGTTCTCGCGGGAGATTTTGCCGAGCGGTCCTCGCGGTACCTGAAGCCAAGGGGCAGGGAATCGAGTCGCGGCCGCGCGAGAAAATGGTAGTTTCGCGTGGTGAATGGCAGTTCTGCGGGGATCACGGATTTTCAAGCGGAACCCCGCACGCGGGCAGAATGCTGAACGCGCGAGAGGCCAGGCCCCGAACAAACCGGCCCTATTGATTTTGGAGAACCTTTCCCGGCGAGAGAGGAGACCGTCGGCTTACACCACCACCGTCGGTAATTCCGAGCCCCTCCCCTTCGTCAAGTTTTCGAGAAGGGTCACCCCGTAATTTGAATATACCGGCACCCTTCCGTGCTCGGTACCCTTCCCTTTTTTCCCAATTGCCGCACGTTCGGCATATTTCGTTCTCTCTCTCTCTCTCTTCGCGCTCGGAATACGCGGACGAGGTGTATTTCGTATAGTATTACGTCGGATGCGAAATAGGTTTTTGCCCGAAGGACGTTACAAGATTGAAAAATTTCAAAGAAACAACGCGCGTTTTTCTCATTCGCCTCGTTACATTTTTTCATATTTTTATCTATACACATCGGTCTTTATAATACCAATAATGTTGCTTAAAACAATCTCGCTGTTTCAACATCGCGTAAACTTGGACGATATGAACGTAAGATATCGCGACTCGCGAATTCAGCATTTTTTTTTTTTTACACGTCGCAGAATAACAAGTCGCGCAAGCGGGGATGGAAACGGAAGCGGTCGATTGCGTCGAGGTATCGGAGTGATAACACGTACGACGCTACAGATTGCAAAATTAAGCAGTTTCGTGAAAAACACTTAGCCATCTTTGTCGTCGGATATGTAATATTATATGTAATAATATACATATGTAATAATTTTCGTCCATCGAAGCGCGTTTCCTTTGTTCGTGGAATCGTCTCTCGGTATAGTTGGACGCAATTAAGGCCATTACACACAAAATTTCATAGGGACATAAGACGTAAGCGTAAGAAAATTGACCAATCCCAATCGAGTATTGGGCTTTCCGTAAAAGTGGAGGGGTTACGGAGAGCCAAATACTCGATTGGGATTGGTCCATCTTTTTACGTTTACGTACTCACGGTATTTGGTGTGTGACGGCCTTCAAGGCGCTTAGATCGTAATTTATCTCGAATTTCCTCGACGAAGAGCCGCAGCTCGAAGCCACCGAGTTATCGCGAACGGCGACTGCGCGATTTTTATCGCGAAAAACTCGCGTTCCGCGCCGGCGTAGATTTTCCCGGCGGGCGCAGGGAAAATTGAAGCGCGCGCGGGGGGTAAAAAGGGGGAGGGGGGAGAGGGGAGGAAACGAAGCCGGCCGCACGGTAATCCGTGCTTATCGATCGGCACTCGGTTGCCAACTTGGCAGTGGCAAACTCCCGGAATTACGAATGAAATGCTCCACATAGCGACGCGGTTGGCGAATCGAATCAGCTTTCATACCTTCGCGAGGGAGGATACGTCGAATTCCGCCTCGCCTCCCGGTGGACGTTTCGCGGTTCGACGACGAAAATGCCCGTAGTACTATATAGTCGATTCTTTATCTAACGCATCCGCGAAGATGCCTTTTCAGCGAGTTTTTCCAAACCTTGGTTACATTGTATGGAGGATTGAAATAAGCGAATGAATAATTTTTGTGTCGTCTCCCTCTTTCTCTCCGTCTCCCTCTCTCTCTCCGTCTTTCCCTCTTCACCCTTTTGTCGATTGAAAGGGGTACAAAACTTGCACGTCAAAGGGAAAAGGGTTCGGCGGGAACAGGGTCGGACTTTTTTTTTTCTCCGCTCGTTGTTGTTCGAGTTTCGGGCTAAATCGCGGGTTGGATGAAGCGGTTTTTAGCGGTGCTACCCGGTCGTCGGGTTCGTGTATAGTTGTATGGTATTGTAACCTACGCGCTTTCTCTAGCAGTCGGCGTTGCTTCTCTGGTCGCGCTCATGTTCCCTCATTCGTGTTCGTGCTTAAAAACCTGTGGGGTCAGTGGTGCTCACAGCTCGTATTGATGTAACCAATTAGGGACGCGCGGTGGGATGTGAAACCCGTAACTCTACTTTAATTCTACGATCGTAAAATAGAAGCAAACAAAGAGCTGCTTTTTTCTGCTTTATACTAGGAGTTTTACATGGAATTTCGAGACCGTGAGATATTGTGTAATATCGGGTAACCATAGTTATATTCCTTGCCTAACTTAGTCAATCGTAAAACTTATTTTTTTTTTTAAATTTATTCTTTATTTATTATTGAAAAAGAGACCTTTTTAACTCTATAAGGATGATAAAAAATTCATAAACTTGCGATATGATGAATTTTAAAACTATTGTATTTGAAATTAATCGATTCTCCAACACTGTTTTGATTCGAAGTGTTTATAGCATTATGGTATACAAAATATTTCAAACTACAAGGACATGCGATGCTTCCGACAACTCTCGTACTTTACAGGCGTCCCTCTTTAATTAAACAATCGAATCCTGTAATCAGCGACATATCTAAAAGAACCAAAAAAGGATCGATTATACAAAACGGCCGTACATTTTGTGCTTGCGCGAGCAAAGACAACAGCGATAGTTGAATTATATATACAAATGTAAGCGGGAGATAACGTTTGGTTCTCACAACGAAGCGTCGGAGAGCTCTCGATTCGCGTGGTAAATAAATATATATCTGATATCGCCCGCGGTGTGTTTACGTTCGATTTGAGAATCACTGGCACACGCAGACGGCCTGTATTCGGGACAGGCAGCTGGTGCGGGGTGCGCAGCGACCGCGCGCAGCGTGCGGGTCACGTGGTGAAGCGTCACCATCGCGGTGGGCGCCGTCGAGGCTCGATTGGTCGTCGTCGGGATACAAATCCCCCATTCGACATCGCCCGAACAAAGGGACGAGGCTACCTCATCCGTCGTCGCGAGCGCTGCCATTAGAAAGTCGTCGGCAGTCGATGTGTGCGGGAGTTCCGCGAGTCGGATAGAGAGAGAGAGAGAGAGAGAGAGAGGGAGATAGAGAAAGAAGTCGGTTCAAGGCGTCGTGAGAAAGTTTCGTCGACCGGGAGTCGTCAGAGTACGGGAAGAGGGAGAGTGGAAGGTTCGCGAAGAGATATCCGATCGCGGGATTAGAAAGATCTACCCAAAGCGTAGGCCGTCGCGATCGAGCTAGGTCCTGGATCCATCGAAATTGGTCAGAATCGATCCGACGAAAGGGAGCATCGTAAGAAGCGGCGCGCGTTGATCGTCCGAAACGAAGAGAAGATTCGACTCGGCGAATTCGCGAGCGTAGAGAGGAGCGCCGCTAACGATAAGAGAAGACGACGCGACGGAGGTGACGACGCGCATACCCTCATCCGTAAAATCGATCCTCGCGTACACCTGTAATTGTGCGCCGGATCGTCGTCGCATCGCCATATCGCCGTCGACGGGAATCCTCGTGGGACGCTCCGGCGGTTAGCTCATCCGCGCTGGAGGGTCGACGTCGCACGACGAGGGCTGTAGAGTGCTACGCAGCAACGTGGCGACGACGCCATTTTGTCGTAACTGGTACCGTGCGATTCTTTCGGCATCAGCGCCGTCGAGCCTACTCATCGCGTGACCCGTGACACGCGCGTATCTCCTCCCGCATCGCGCCCGCAAAGTGTGCGAATCCAAAATCGACCGGAGATCATCCGGATATCTCCGGGGATTAGATCGCGAGAGGAGCGAAGAGAGGAGGAAAGAGTCGGAGAGTCGAAGGGTTACGAGACACGGATTGTTATCTCGTGCAAAACGCGGAGTGCGTCATCGGCGTGATTTCGATCTATTCGCGCTCGTAAGGGATTCCATTCCCGATTTCACCATATCGTTCAATCTGCGTCCTCGCCCTGGGTAACCAACCATGAGACTGGAAATTGTGTCGGCGGCGGATTTCCTGGTGCACCTGCTGCGCCTGCAGGCGGGTCAACTGTCGGAACGACAATTGGAGATGTTCAAGTCATCGCTGACGGAGGTGTTGCGCCACCGTTACCGGGACCACTGGTTCCCGGATCGGCCAAATCGCGGCTCCGGTTACCGTTGCATACGTATCAACGGTAAAATGGACCCGGTGATCGCACAAGCCGGCGCCAACGTCGGCTTGCTGCCGACTGTCCTGCACACCCTGTTCCCCAGCGAGCTCACCATGTGGATCGACCCGTCGGAGGTGTCGTACAGAATCGGCGAGAATGGTTCCATCTGCGTTCTGTACGAGCGGACCGAGCCCGAGATCTCGGATGAGCTCTCGTCCCAGCAGCACCATCACCAGCAGCAACATCAACACCAGCACCACCATCAATCGCAGCAGCATCAGCAAATGTCGCCGCAGCAATCGTCGCCGCAACAACAGCAGCAGCAATTTGAGAGCTGCAAGGACTCCCTATTATTGGAGCATCCGCAGTTCAGCGAGCAGATTGCCGCGTACGTCTCCAGCTGAATCGCCGGGCTCGCGCTCGCCGTCACTCGCGTCCACGCTCTCGAAATAATGTAATAAAGCGCACGTACATCTCGTGATATGTGATATCCCGTGTGTGTCGCGTCGCGTCGGACCGAGCGGGTCCGCGCGCGCTCGATCTTTCATGGACTCCCCCAACTGTGTGCGCGCGTCCTCCTTGCGATCGTTCTCTTCATTTTTCCTCTATATTTCTCTTTCC